CACAAATCGTGTATTCAAAGGAAATATTCAGAATATTCTGCAAATGAGACGAAAGTCTTAGATTGCAGTGAAAGATATGATTTAATGGATAACTCGTCCCTTTATATAAGCCATCGGAATGTTTGACTCAATCAAAGCAAATGAATGCTTGTGTCCGTCCGTTAAGACCCACACAATTGGGCAAACATTTCATACAATTAATGCTAACGATTGGTATGCCTTTTGTGTGTTTGGTTTCATTCAAATGCCATTAATTATATTTTAGGTATGCATCTAATATTGGTGATTGATTTGATTTTGGTGTCATCTTGCATATTTATTATTAATTTTATAATACATAAACTGTATATTTGTTTAATATTTTTATTCTTAATTATATTTTAATGAATTATTTGTTAATGTAATAGAAAGCTAGTGCTAAAAATAAAACCGTTATACATCTATAGTGTAGAATCTATACTAATCTTATATTTTATTTAATTGCAATCTTTATTAAGTAACTCCGAAATAAGTTGAGCTTATTTTAGGCGAAAAATAAAAATCAGAGAGAGATTAATAAGTAATTAATGGTAAAAATATATTAGCTGTTAGAGAGAGATGGGATGAAAGGGTGAGGAATGGTATTAAACAGTCCACATATAATTGAAGAACTGTTCGCTTTGCCAGAAATAGCAGCGATCGCTTCTGTGGTAATTCGTGGTCACAATTGAGGTGTAGTTGAGTTGAGACACAATCTCTGCCGTCTGTGTGGGAAACGATTGCCATTGAAATGATTGCGATAAGTCTGTGGTGTTGTCGGCTCTGATGAATGCCAACACTATTTGCTGTATTGTTTCGCTGATCGAGAAGTCATTAAAAGACGGCCAATGCATCCAAACCTCTAATTGTCCGAAGAATGAGATGATGTCCATCAGATGCGAGGAATGGCTCACTCCCTGTTCATACACCCGTACCTATAGATTATGGTTAAAATTAATCACTTGTAATATGATTAATGTTTGCATTTATTTCCTCCATTAAAATATACAGTACAGTGTATAGTATGCTTAAAATGTTAAAATCCCAGAAAAAATTGATTTTATTTTATTAAATTTAGTTTAAAGAAATGTACTTTTATATAAATAAATTTGAATTTAATTTAAATATTTCTTCACACGAGTTATGTTTAATAAAACGCAGCAAAATATTGACTTAAATATTGATTTAGAAATATTTCGTAATATTAATATTTCCGAAACTCTAAACTCAATTTTGCATTAAAATAACTTTCATTTTTTTTACTGAATATACGATATAAGAAATAAATCAGAAAATATTGTTCAATACATACGGGTTTAGAAATTTTTGCGCTATAAATGTATCGAAAAATATTGTGATTCTTTGTATTCATTGCCAGCACTTCCGAGAGATAATTAATGGGACAAATTTGTCGCAGATCTGAAACCATTGTTATGTACTGAAGCTGTGGTGTGATTGTTATGTCGACGTCCGACGTCTGGGCCGACGGTTTATACAGATCTAGACTTAATTGCGATAAACGCGGTCCAAACGAGTCCATACTTGTGGTGACATATTTGCTGTAATCACTCCACGACCAGCTCATCAAGTCTTTAGGCCCGGGCCAGAAGCCTATCGCCTCCCGAGACGACCCAATCAGTAATGGGATATCACTCGACATCTTTGCAAACGGATAGAAATCGCGTACAATTGTGTCTAAAAATGTATTACAAATATAATATTGTAAATATTTTAATGTAAGTAATTATTAAAATTTTGATTATGAAGATTAAAACAACCCTCTATAAAAAGATTGATCGATATTTAATATTAAAAATGATGTTTAAGTAAAACACTTACTGTCGACAGTAATTAATTGTTCGCTCAAAATGCCTAAAATTGGTAAATCGTTTTGATCTATAATCCGAAACGAGGGGTCATTTTTGCCGATAAAGGCGTGGATCACATGCTGTGCCGAAAGGGATCGCAAACAATCGGTTGTCTTGCAATTCGTTCGCTTTAAAAAGCCTTTCCTGTTATCCTTTGAGGCGCTGGCAATGGATTTGTCAAAATAAACGGCCGGATCTATGAGCCAACCGGCATAGTATAGGGAACGGTAGTTGTGATTAGACATGAGGGCCAGTATAAGGGCAGCGCCTGAATCGGCGCCAAATAAAGTGACTTTTCTGTTGTCACCGCCGAATGAATTAATGTTTAATTGAATCCATTGGAGAGCGAGTATGACATCCATTAAACCAAAATTTGTTGACTCTTTGGTATTGTTGGCCAATAAGTCAAGGGCTAAGAAACCAAACGCATGGAGTCTGTAGTTGAGGCTGAGGTACACTGTATTGGTCTTTATGGCTAACTTTCCGTTGGGTTTGAGCCCCGGCTGATGGCCGGACCCGAACTGAAGGAACCCCCCGTGAATCCATACCATCACCGATAGGTTTGCCTTTAGATATGTATAAAACAGTATAAATACTTTGTTAATACCCTAAACAAATATCGCACAAAAGTTTTAATTAAAAAGTCAAACATTAGCTCATATTTGAAATCAAATTATCGTCTGTGAAAATATTTGCGTTAAAAATATGTATTCAGAAATAATTTCTGCTTTTCAAATATTTAACTTAAGAATAATTATTAAAATGTATGTAAGAATAAAGTTATATTTAAATGCAATTATTGACTAAAACTGTCTGATTTTAAAACATACTTTTATCGTTTCAATAGGACTTGTTGTTTGTTATCAGCGTTTTATTACTAAATTATTTGCATTTTATCTGAAAACACATTCACAGACTGGGAATAGAAGTAAAATAAAACTTTTCAATTAGATTTATATGAATTAAATCTTAAAATCTAATGCAATATAAGTTTTTAAAATGTTTTAAAAATTCAATTTAATTCTTAGACATGAAATGAGGCGATATTTGTAGTGCAATAATTACATTAATTAAAGTGCTGTAAACCAAATGCAAACTCAAATTACATTCACTAATTTGACGAAAAACTAAATCTAATTGAAATATTTTAAATATTTTCTCTAAAGGATTGAATGGATCGTAAAATGTCTACACATTATTGTTTTATAATTGCATTGATTTCTAACTTCCGTACTGTTTGTCTCATGTGTTTAATATATTCAATATTTTGTTATCAAATGTTAATACCATTTATGCAATATATCAAAAACCTTGCAATCATTACGAATAAAGTCATATAATTATCACCAGAAAACAGAAACCAAGTGATCATTAAAAACACAGACAACTCGTGTAAAAATTGATTTCAATTGCGAGACTAAAACACTATAAATGTTTTGTGTTTTCCAAAAGTGATATTAAAAATGTATTACAACAATGAGAAGAGCACTCAATAATTAAATGTCTATTTGTCCGCAAAATGATAAAATAGGAAATGTTTAACAAATAGATTTCAATTCAGTCGCCTTTAATTGAATTTCACTTTAGTTTTGTTTCATTGCATCAAAATTATAGAGAAATTTTTAATCAAAATTGTGAACAATCTATAAATGAGGCTTTCGTAAGTTTGTTATGCAAATCCCAGGACTTTGTTCACATCTAATTAAATCTAAACTAAATAACGAATAAATTTCAATAAAACTTAATTAAAATTATATATAAGTAAACAGAAATTTTGTAATTAATATTAATTATTTATAGGTTATATAAATATACAAAATTTTGTAAAAATAATATCAAATTTCTTTATATATTGTCAAACATTCAATTAAGATATCAAAACTATAATTACGTTAAATAATAACAACAAACGGTTATTATATAACTAACTGTTATGTAATTCTTCTAAATGCCTGATCATTATGTAAGACACAAATCGTGTATTCAAAGGAAATATTCAGAATATTCTGCAAATGAGACGAAAGTCTTAGATTGCAGTGAAAGATATGATTTAATGGATAACTCGTCCCTTTATATAAGCCATCGGAATGTTTGAC